TCTGGATGTAGTTGAATGCAGAATTCAAAAGCTGGAAAGCCTTAGCAACAGTTTTAGCTCGACAATAAACAACTGTGTCATCAGCATAGAAATGTATGGATGCATTAGGGATGTTTTTACCTACATTATGTATGTAGATTGTAAAGAGGGTGGGTCTTAAGACTGAGCCTTGTGGTACACCATTGTTGACTGTTAAATAACTGGAGGAAGTATCATTATGTTGAACACATTGCCTCCGGTCTGAAAGATAGTTAGAGAACCAACCAATGGTGTGTTCTGAGAAACCAATTTTTGAGAGTTTATGACACAAGATGTTATGATCCACAGTGTCAAAAGCTTTAGACAGGTCTAAGAAAAGTGCAGCACAATAATCCTTAGCATCCAGTGCTTCAACAACGTCATTAAGAACCTTCAGTGAAGCAGTGGTTGTGCTGTGTTGTTTCCTGAAACCAGATTGATGTGGAGGTAAGATGTTAAATGAGTCCAGGTAATTTTTGATTTGAGAGTTTATTATTTTTTCTAGAACCTTGGCTAAAATGCAGAGTTTAGAGATTGGTCGATAGTTGTTCAGTGAGGTGGGGTCACCTCCCTTCAGCAAAGGAAGAACAAGGCTGTTTTCCAAGTGTCTGGGATGGAGTTTTGTCTTATGGAGAGATTGAAGATGTGGGTCACAGGGACTGTGATGATATGAGCAGCCAGCCTTAAGAAATAAGGTGGAAGTTCATCTGGACCTGCAGATTTTTTAGGGTCAAGATCTTTTAACAGTTTATTGACCTCACTGACTGAGAATGGAGAAAAAGAGAAGCTGTGATTAACTGAGGATTGACTTGTAGGAGGGATTTGATTTGTAGAAGTTTGGTTATTAGGGGAAGTGGCTGATTTTCCGTTAGTAACTGTGTCAAATAAAGAACTAGAAGCAACAAAATGTTTGTTGAAACAGTTCAGGATCTCGTGCTTATTTGACACAGGAACAGAGTTAATGAGAAGTTGTGATGGGAGGTCAGATGATTGGGGGGTGCCTGAGAGAGATTTGATGGTTTTCCAGAATCTGTTAGGGTCATTTAGATTTTTGGAGGTCTGAGATAAGAAATAGTTGCGTTTTGCTGCTTTGACAGCAGTTGTACATTTATTCCTCATCTGTCGAAAACTCAACCAATCAGTGTCTGAGTCAGATTTTCTCGCTGCAGCCCAAAGATGGTCTCTCCTGTGCAGGAGGTCAGCTAGCTCTGGAGTAAACCAGGCGCTGTCTCGTCCCTTTATTCTGAACTGACGAAAAGGAGCATGTTAGTTCACGAAAAAAATGAAACTATTATGAAAATAGTCCCAAGCGGAGTTCACATCATCAGTTAACAGAATATGATGTCAGTCAAAGTGAGACAGATCCCAGAGGAATGACTGTTCACAAAAATGTTTCAGATCCCTTTTTTGAATTAATCTGGGCTTAGAAGGTGGAAGTTTAATATCTCTCAAAGCCGCTGTCACACAATGATCACTCAAAATATCAGCGAATACACCTGTACCAGGAAATTTGTGAGGCATATTAGTTAGAAATAGGTCTAAGATGGAGGATTTTTCAGGATGGTTTTTGTTTAATCTAGTAGGAGAGTCGATCAATTGGGTTAAATTAAAAGACAAGCAACATTCCTTGAATTTATCACAGAGGGGGGTCGACTTACACCAATCAATGTTGAGGTATCCAGCCAAAAGGATCTCTTTGAATTTTAAATTACCAAGGAATTCCATCAGTGCAGACAGAGCCTCAGGTGATGCTGAGGGGGGGGCGGTAGCATCAGACTACAGTTAAGATCTGACCTCCATTCAAGGTGATGTTTACAGATAAGGCTTCAAACTGGTTTGGAATTGTTTTAGAAGACACAAGATTAGCAACCAAAGAATTTCTGATGTAAACAGTGACCCCCCCCCCCCCATTTTTTTGACGATCACAGCAGTAGATGTTAAATCCATTGATTGCCAGGTCATTATTCATTACAGATTTGTTGAGCCAGGACTCAGAGACGAAGATAACATCTGCCCCAGAAGAACTGATCAGAATTTTCAAAGCATCAAGTTTTTTCAGAAGGCTACGAGCATTTACATGCAGAAAATGAAGCCCAGACACGTTCTTAAAGTCATTTGGTGTGCTGTAATTAGTGGGGGGTCCAGGGTTGGGTTGAATCCCTGAGAGCAGTAACAACATTATTATCAGACATTTTCTTGAGTTTTTTGTGACTGATGTGTAATTACAGGAGTTAATAGTGTAACAATTAGCCCCCATAATCGAACCATGAGAAACATTAATGAAGACGTGATCATTCAGAACCCAAAAACAGTGAAAGTTGCCGTGATGGGCAGATTCAGTATTAACAATATTCAGAGACTCCAGATAATCTGAGAACTGAAAATAGTGACAATAATATGAATGATGCAGGAAAGTTTCAGACCATAAAACGTCACAGTTCAAATGGGCAAACAAACCCGACAAGGTGGCCCAACTGCAGTTTGAGTTGGGCTGAGGGGGGCTCCGGCCCCCCAGTGAAGATGGATGGATGCTCCCATGTAAAACAGAAGCTGGGTCCAGAATCAACAGGCCGAAACAGAAACAGATAATTCGCAGCAAATAGAGCGAGCTGCCAGAAAATCCTCCTGAAGTGAAAGGCATGATCCTAGCTCGTTTCAGGTCAACAGGGGCCAACAGCGTGATCCGGAATAAAATTAATTATTATCCAGGTGAGTTTGGATGGAGGCCTGTAGCAACTCCGATACAAACTCCGAACTTCTCTCGAGCACCACGCAGCGCTGCTCCTCCGCTTCTCTGCATGACACCTTAATCTGAATGCCAGAAAACGCCTTGTAACCGATACCTTCCTACTGGCCATTGACTATGGTGATATTATTTACACGAATACCCCTGCCAGCTCCTTGCAGATGTTGGATGCTGTCTACCATTGCGAGCTAAGATTCATAACTAGTTGTAATTACCATAACCATCACTGCACTCTGTACTCCTTGATCAGTTGGTCATCATTATCTACACATAGGCTCACACACTGTTTCATTTTTCATCTATAAATCGCTCCTTGGTCTGCTACCTTCTTATATCTCCTCCTACATGTCACATTGTCAGTGTAGTTACAACATGCGTTCTCAGGCCATCATTAAGCCCCCTGTATACTCCCGGGTACTTCTGTTTACGCGAACGTACGCGTGTACTTTACGCAGAGGATTCAGACTTCAGACTCAAGCGTACACCCTGAGCAGCTGCAGAGCAGTTTCACAGACAAGGGGCGTTTATCTTCGGGACAAATTGAGGTCACCGATTGGTCATTTGCTGACACGCTTACTGGATTGATTGACAGGTCGGGGGGGAAAAAAAACGAGCGCTGGCAGCCTCAGCTGCAGTGGTGTTCTGTGTTTATATGTTGTTAATAAAAAGATCTAAAAAAATTATTTAAAAAACAGGGAGTGCTAGCTCTGCAGCCCACACATCAGACCAGCCCACCATGAAATCTCCAGACCCTCCCGCAGCCATGCTGGACCTGTGTTTAATTCACTCGTGACAAATTCCTTCATTTTTCCCCATTTCAGTCATGGCATCAACGGAGGAGGAAGAGATCACTTGCCTCTTGTCAAAAAAACAAAAGAAAAGGCCAGATAAGGGATGAAGAAGGGGAATTTAATACATTGGTGTCGCATACAAAACAGTCCGTCGCTGGGCAGTTTATTGTGCAACACCGCATACGCGTATGCGGTTGTAAAAATTGAGCTTTGCACGGACATGCCCTGGGGGGTACGGTCGTACCTCCGCGTACGTACGTGCATACCTCTGTGTATGGACATACGCGGGAGTATACTGGGGGCTTTACCTGCAGCTTTCCCTCAGTGCGGACTGAACTTGGCAAAACGGCCTTTTTCTATTCAGTTCCTGCAACCTAGAACACCTTGAAACAGGAACTGAAGTCATCCACCCTAATTTCTTTAAGGGGTTTCAAACATTTGATAATGTCAATCGAAAAATCAAAGAAAATATGTCCTTGTTTTTAGCATTTCACCCTGTTTTACGGCAACCTGATTTATTGTTTTATACACTACTCTTATTTTAACTGCATTTTTACTGTAGTTTATTGTTGTCATTGTTTACTGTCGTCTGTACTTTATATGTTCTGTATGGAACGCATCCCTCTTGTAAATGAGTCCTTGTGGCTCAATGAGGCTAGCCTGTATAAAAAAAAAAGGTTGAATGAATGAATACACAATAGAAATATAAAGCTTTTAAACACAAACAATACATTTAAGTTATAATACATATAAAAGGCAGCTGTAAAAAATATATATGCAGAATTTTCAGGAATTCACTTATGTGTCTAAACGTAAAAAAAAAAAAACTATCCTGATGCATGTGTAGCACCCTAGGGTTTTCAATGGTTTTTTCATCTTGCCTTTCTGGGATGGGTCTCGGTTTGTATTGTTATACGCTGGGTGTTTTGGGGGGCCTCATCTGCTTTGAACACAAAATCAGCCAGTGCTTATTTCTGCCAGTAGGTGGCAGCAGTGGTTTAGTTTAGAACGTCACTGACTCGCGCTCCTCTGCATTTTACAGCCGTTTACAGCAGAAGCAGCGAGTAATGGTTAGAAGCTCAGTAAGAAATATATTGCTGCCTATCTTAAAGCTCTGTTTTGTGTTACAGACTAAATAAACACTTGTGGCACCGGAATTAAAGTTGTCCTCATTCCGTGTGTTACACATGCTCAATAATCCAGGTAGAAAAAAAAATCGAATAAAGTTAAGTCAGGTCCTCTGGACATCCAAAAAACAACCAAACTGAAGAAGTCTTTCGGCTGAAAGACGAAACGTTTCAAGATTTATTTATTTTTTTATTTTTTTTGAATGTCCAGAGGTCCTGACTTAACTTTTTTAGAGTAAAAAAAAAATACTTTTTTTCTAATCTTTTAGATTTAAAACAATTTAGATAAAGGTTGCTCAGAGTGTCTTAGTACCTTACCTCCACCCATAGAATGAATAAGAAAGAAGCACTGTAGGCAGTCGCACTGTTCTGACGCCCTCCTCAGCTTATCCACTATTGACTGCCTGTAGGCCGCGCCGTACGTCAAGTATCCAACTGCCCTGAACAGAAAGTTGGGCAATGAAAAAAATGTTAGGTTACTTTTACGAACCCTGGTTCTTTGATAACAGAGTGAGGTGTTTCACTATGGGAAATGCGCCCGTGTGATCAACTACGAAAGCTCCAATGACATCACGTCTGTCTGAGACAGACCGGTAGCATAGTGCTAAGGGCTTTACCCCCCTCCACCCAGAATGACACCACAGTCAACAGACTACCTCCTACTAATTCTAGGATGGTTTCTTCTCGTGTCCATGCAAGGAGAGAAATGTTGGTGAAACACCACACTCATTTGGTGTTTCACTTTGGAAGATGTGGCCCACTCCAATATTGCATGAAAGCTCCAAAACCAACAATCCTAAACCCGGATTAAGAGGGCTCTGAAGTTCCGGCATCGAGTATTGTGTGAGCTAGGGATGGCTGAGCCACATTCAGACTGTAAAAGCACACAAATGTGTGCAGTGTGGCCCAGCTAGCTGCAGCACAATATCCTGGATAGATACTCCTTGAAACAGGACCCAAGATGTGGCCATGGATCTGGTAAGAGTGGGCTTTCCAACAAATCGGTGGCTCTGTATTCTTACACCTGTAGTAGAGACTAATGGTTTCCTCAATCAAGTGTGCCAGCCTCTGGCGTGACACTAGTTTGCCTTTACAAGTCAAGGCCCATGAAACAAACAGCTGGTTTGAATTCCTGAATCAGAATCAACTTTAATATCATTGCACAGTTAAGCACAGCAAACATACATATCAATGCAGCTGTCCAAAAGTGCATGGGGCTGCAGCTTCGTTGTGAAGTGCTGCCCTTATCGCTTAGATAAGAAAAGGAAATAAAAATATAAGGTAAGGTATTGAAAAAAGATCTTTCACCATTGTGTCCTTGAGACACAGTGTAAAGTAGTAAAAAGACTACATCAGCACAAAGTAACATAGATAGACATAAGACATTTTGCTGGAGGAGCGGGGAGGCCACAAAGGCAGTGAGATTGTCCATGAACACTACCAGAAAGTTACATAGTCCTGATAAAGATGGAACAGTGTCTATCAGCCGGTTCAGCTATGATAAGGGTCCACAGATATTCTCGGTCGGGGGGGAGGAAGAGGGGGCAGAGCAGAGGCTCATTATTTACATATCTTACAGGAGCAATTTGAGATAAGTTGGCCTATTCAAGGCCAAGCGGGGAAGCCAGTTTCAGATAAACAAAAATTGTTTTGGAACTGGCCGACTCTATTGATTTAACTTCTGCCTTTATAATTTCTGCTGGTACACTCAATGGCGAATCCAAACAGCCAGATTTGTGGTCATTCTGCCGGTCTGTACTTGTAGCCTTCTCCAAGGTTGATTCCTTCAAGCCAGCGAGTTCTAGGAGCCGCAAGTGGCCTGCGATTCTGAAAAATCGTGTCCTGTTTACAGTTTAGTTCACAAAGCATCTGAGTCTGAGTGCTCAAAGCATGGTGCAATCCTTCACATAAGGCAGGCAGCCTCACCATTGCCAAACGGCTGCCAAAGTCTTCCTAATTTGTCGATATCCCAGGTACATATGATATGACATGATAATGGGGGAAGTAAGACCTCAGTTGAGCAGACGTTCAAACACATTATTTTGTTAATGTAAACAAGATGTCAGTCATTGTATTATCGTCTCTGAAGAACTTTGAGGAGGGAGATTTTAATTACATTAATTATACAGTGGGATACTCCTACTGTATGAAGCCCTCTGATTGGTTAAAAGTTAAGGGGCCTGTCTTCCTGGTGTCAGGTATACTGAACACCGAGGGAGTTGTGAGATGGCAGCCGATGAGGAAAGTTGACTTTGGAGTCCAGTCAAGCTGAGCAGATGGAATGAGTGGTTGTGGAGAGTTGATGAGACTCTCTGAAAAACAACAGCCATATGATGGAAGACGTGTCCAGCTGAAACATGGTAGACATCCTGAAACTTCTTAAAGCATCCAGGAGCGAAAGGTATGTGTCGAACGGACTGCAGCCCTGAGAAACAACATCCTTCTTGGGACAGCGGGCCACCGGCTTTTTCATGCATCTGCTGTGGTAATGAGAGATGAACATCTTCCTTATGATGAGAGAACCACATAACAGTGCACATTAAGTTTGTTTAGATCATTTAATTCATGAATCAGAGATAAACTTACTTAAATTTTAATATTAAGAGCAGAACCTTAATCCAAATTGAATCAAAACTCCTCAAAGTTCTCAGATTTGTCATTTACTTTCTAAAATAATATTATTGGTTGTTCATTAGTATTCAATATTTGCCATAATTTTCATGTCATGATTCAAGCTAAAAATAAACATTACAGAATTGTATTTAAATTACGAGTTCTTTGTGTTTTCTTCAAGGGACAGGAATTAAGTTTGCTACAAAAACTCATGGTTTATGTTTGAGGTGAGGTTGGTCCAGAGTGCGTGAGCGTAAATACTAGTTAAAGGGTAGAAATTTGACCAGACCAGAAGTCCAATACCCTATACATATATTACCCAACAACATGCACTAGATCGTTACAAACCAAACTGCTTGACAGATAAAGCAACAGAGTGTCTTGTGTGTTAACATTCTGAAGGTACTGTATATCTGCATGAACGACTTGTTTATCACACGCAGATATAATATGGGGCAGAGGGATGTACAGTCTTTCTTTGGGATCAGAAAATAGTGAGAATAAAAGCCCTGGTTAGCTTCCACATTCAGTATTACCATACTCTGATAGCTCGTTTACTTACAAGAGAGGCAATCTCATCCTCCAGAACATGTGCTGAATCCCTGCTGGCTACGGAGAGTACACCATTGAATCTGGGCAGCTTCATGTTGAACTGAAGTTGGTAACCCCGAGAATTTGTGGTCAGAACCCATGGCAGTACTGCACGTGTATAATTTTTCCACTCTCGTAGAGAGTGGTCTGCCTGTGTTGCCACAAGGTGATGTCACTCCAGCCACCAGTCACTCCCATCTGCCCTTTTCTCTGAAAGTGCACAAGCGTCCTCTGTTGGACAAAGGCATGGGCAAAGTGTTTTTTAATCTTTTTTGTGGGGTGAATTCTGCCCTTGGCAACATGCCTGGCTGCAGAAATGCATTTTTTTTGTACTGTTTCCCCAGAACAAATTGAAGCATATTGGGACACTGGTGAGTGCTTGGTGACAATGAGGGAGTGCTGTTGAGTGCACGATGTGCTTGGGGACACTGAGAGCGTGTTGTTGAGTGTGTGATGAGCATTTAGTGTTTGGTGACATTGTGTTTTCTGTCTCACAATCTCTCTGGACATGAGAGAGCTGAACAAACAGCACTCCTGCTGAACTGAAAACTGCAGGAGTGTGTGAACATTTGCAAATAGGATGTCCCCTCTTCTGACAATTTTCTCCTTTTAACTGGAGGTGGAAAAGGTGAGGGAGCTAGGTCATCTGCTTTTTCTTGCCCTTACTGGGGTGGGATGGGCATTTCCTAGTGACCAATGCTGCAAAGGAGTGCTTGCCAAAAGGTTTTGGGCTCCCCCCTCCCTTATTTTGCTGGGTTGGGCAACTGGCTGCTTGTCTGGATGAATTAGTGCCACCCTGCCACCCCCTTGTTGCTGCAGCAGATGCTGCAAACTTGGATCTGGTTCCATGCGTAAAATGGAGATAAGATTTGCATGGCATTGCTCCAACATTGTCCCAGTTCTCCATATAATATTGAAGAGAAGTGTCACCCATGACATCACCAATTTGGCTCCCTTGGCTGGCCTTGAAGGTCATCTTATCTGAATTTGCCTGGAGAGCATGTGAGCTGACATTCAATACCCCCTCCCTGAGGAATTTCCAACTGATAACCAGATGAAATCAGCTGAATAAACTTTGTGTCATCATTTCAGGACTCTTGAATTCTCAGTCGGTATTCTTGGCCATTCCTCGACATACCTCGAGAATGTTTATGGATCTCATCGGAGGACACTGGCTGATTATTACATCTTTATCAGAACTCTTATAGTGCCCTTGAGATCATCTATGATCATCTCACCGCTTTTGTCGTCCCCCTCTGCAGAATGTCTACGTCACTATGTGCTTGTTTGTGCAAGGTGTTTTTTAATATCAGAGTTTTATCATCTCAGGCAGGAAAAAAAAATCTGATAGGAATTTTTTCGCCTCCATTTCCTACATGTGTCCAGTTTATCACTTTTATTGTCTGTCTAAACAGGTCTCACTTGTAAATGAGTCTTTGGGGCTCAATGTGACTTATCTGTTTAAAAAAAGGTTGAATGAAAAAAAATGCATATGTAGTCATGTTTTTAAATGTGCTTGCTGGTAGAGTTTTTTTTTTTTTTATGTCTCAAATCGTGTCCTGATAGACAAGATGTGAAAGATCTTTTTTTATAATACCACTATCTACCTTCATGGCTCTCACTCTTTTCCTATCTAAGAATATTATTCTGAAAAAGGATAAGAAAGGCCGCGCTTGTAGCAGTAGCTTCGTGTACAACATCCATCTTCCGGACGACTGTACGTACATGTTCTCGTTGTATCTCAGTGCAATGATAATCAAGCTGATTCTGAATACTTGGGCCTAATGCTTGAAAACTACCCTGATATGCTAAACATTTAGGCAGCATGCTTTTTGACAGAAGTTACAGATGATAATATTTCAGCTTCAAGCTGACTTAGAAGCTGAAAAAATAAATAAATAAGTTAAGTTTTCTAGATAACTCATAAGGTAAAATGGTAAATGGACTGTACTTATACAGGTCCTTCTCAAAAAATTAGCATATTGTGATAAAGGTAATTATTTTCCGTAATGATAAAAATTAAACTTTCATATATATTCAGATTCATTGCACACCAACTGAAATATTTCAGGTCTTTAATTGTTTTAATACTGATGGTTATGGCAAAGACCCCAATGATGAGAAACACAAATGGACCTAGTGTTCCCTTGCCCTGACGTGGGTCACCGGGGCCCCACTCTGGAGCCAGGCCTGGAGGTGGGGCACGCGGGCGAGCGCCTGGTGGCCGGGCTTTTAC